ATTGTCCATTGTTGCCTGTAGTTGTCTGTAGAATTCTTCTTTCTTTTCGAGGTCTGCGTTGTTTGTGGGTGCATAACATTGTATGATTGACACTTTCCTTCCTTTGGAGTTGAATCTGGCGGTCATTATCCTGGACGAAATCGCCTCCCATTGCATCAGGGCTTTCGTTGCCGTTGGTGACATCATGATAGCCACGCCCTCGGTGTGCGTGTGGTTATCTTCTGGGTGACCGGAGTAGATCACTGACTCACCGTTGACAATTTGGTGAGTCCACTCCCATTCCATCTGCTTTCACATATTCCCAGCACTTGTATTCCGTATCTTTTCATCTCGTTGGCGATCTGGGCAGCTTTCCAGTCTCGTACATAGTTCGGACGTTCCATGTCCCCATACAGACTTTTTCTTTTGGTGCAAAGAGTTTCTGTAGCAATTTTTTTTACAGGGTGGGGTTGCTAGCCTCACGCCTGAGAAAGGAATGATTACATTAAGATAAAGTTTAGAGAGAAGCGACTTTTTGGGTTGCTCCCCTCAAAATCGGAAAATAACGGACAAAACAATGAGAACAACATCAAAAGGAAAATAATTCACAGCAAAAAGCGACAGCAACGATACAATACAACAACATGCAATATAGTTCAGCACAGTTAACTAAAATGATATCTCAACCATAAACTCACTGACTTGGAGCAACTTGAACATGTAAATCCAACAATATATACAATTATAGATGTGTTTATGTTTAAAAATTCCACAAATCCAAATAGTTAGTTATATGTATTATCTGTCAATAAGATTGTATCCTTGGATTTAGTGTTCAAAAGGTAAATAATTGTGATAGTTTCCACAAACTCTTGTCATGAAATTTTACAGAAACGAGAGTTTTTTATAAATAAGGGAAATGTAGCGCAGTAGTCGAAAAGCGCGCCTCAGAAACAATCCTGTTTGACAGAAGTCTTTAGAAAATTAACCGACAAGTTTGTTATTGGGGTGGTAACTAAAATAGATTCGTAACTATTAGGTAGTTAGGTAAGAGAAAATAGAAATTTGTGTGTAAGAGGTCAAATGAAAAGATGATGATGTAATATGGTGATTAGAACTCATATGGAAATCAAACAGAAAAATAACAAGGCGGAGGGGTGGCCACTGTAAACACGAGTAGTTAATGGAATTAGAAGACCAAGAGTTATTAATAGATGAGTCACCATGGTAACTGGATTCCAACGACAGATTCCTTTTGAGCACAACTAGCAGGTTTCAGCCGTTTTATTTAGACAGCGTAGACTTGAGCTATTTTGTCTGTTAATTATATCGAATGATGCCAGCAATTCTGCTCGGTGTCCAGTGTCTGTCAGGTGTTCGGTGATTGAAGTGCTTCAAGAGTTTGTCACCTTGAACCAGGAGTTCCTTCGTACATATGTTCGAAAGGTCTGAAATAGGCCTTTCTTTCTGTTCTGATAATGTAAATTTTTCTCCAGCAGATATATATCAATTGGTATATACACAGTTAGAGGTAACATAATAGGGGTACTAGTCGATCTCTGGCTCTGTTTGGAGCAGAGAGACTAGTTTTGCTGGAGGATACGTCCTAGACAGGGCTGAGCTTAAGCTTTTATTTACGATTTTCATAGTACCATTGCTCCTGAAGTCCAGTTTTATGTAAACTTGCTTCTTGCTGATCGCGACTACATCAGGTTTCTTGCATTCATTCTCGCGCATATTTTTCGATTTGGCTCTGTGGATAACCATCTTCTTTCAAGAAATCCTCAAACAGCACTAATTCAATGTATCATTTGTCAGGTGGATATATTCTTATTGTTCTGGAGAAAAACGTTTTCACCAGCATTCGTTTGTAACTGACTGAGCAGAGGCTATTGAAGTTTTAGTATAAACCTCTTCATGTGTCGTCACAATATATATTCATCTTCCGAGTCTCCTTTCTGTTTGTCTCTCCAAGTTTTTATCCAAGGAGTGAATATCATCAGCATCTTCCTGTTCCAGCGTGTAGGTGATACTCTTATGAACATTACTGAATAAGCCTAGTAGAGGTACAGTGTGACTCAAATCACTGCATACAATGAATGTGTCATCTGTGTATCCATTGTAGGCCATTGTTTCATCAATTGTACATTTAAGTTTTGTCCCTTCTAGACTGACCATAAAGATATTAGCTAATACAGAGCTCAACAGACTCCCCATCGCCACTGCATCAATATGGCGATACATTTTTTTGTCGTCAAACTGGAATTTTGTATCCTTCGTAGATACATAACACGAGAAGCTGCTTAAACTCCTGCTTTGACAGAGGAACCGAATCAGTATGTTGACCAACATGATGACTAACGTCTCATGCAGTGGAACCTAAATTGATCTGTTGCACGCCAAATTTCGATCTTCTCTTACCTAACTACGTAATTGTTACGAATTTATTTTTGTTACCATTCTAAAGAGTTCTCTCAAACAAGATATATATATATATATATATATATATATATATATATATATATTTACACTTCAGCTACCTTGTCACATCATGATGTTTTACCTCAGCATGACGCTCTTAAAACTTTGCTTGTTGATAGACGAAAGTATGTTAAAATTTTACGTTAACTTATATTTATTAAAGATAATACGTTGTTGTGTGCAGCTGATGAGAACTAACGAAATTCGCGTTGTTCTGCATCCATGCTTCACCTATCACTCTGCTCAAACTTCATAAAGTGATGTCATCTTTTGATCTCTAATAACCCAACCTAATTCTATACCAAATAATACTGTTCAACAAAGAAGGCGATGGCTTGCCATACCCGGCATACAACAGAACCAAACAATCAAGCTTTTTGAACAAAGCAAGAACTACAGTTTTAGCAGAATAAAATGGTACCATCATTGTTTATTTCGTTACCTTGTCGTCAGCCGCCCTCAGGTCAAAGACATTATTAAATATATCTACAAAAACAATTTTCACATACTTGCACAGAGTTCATTTTTTAACAAAAATCAATCGATCAATATATGCATATAGTAATATATACATATATAATATTAAACACTATTCCGAACAATTATAATTATACACAATAGAAACTTTTCAGCATTTCGCATTCGGATGAAAGAGAGATGAAAAATCATGGCAAAGATAGACTGATAACCGCTTCTTTCTGAACTCACAAATTAGGTTTCAGGCGAGTGATGGAAATTGCTTCAGCAAACTTGAGGAGAATTGAACTCTTTTGCCTATTGATAATTTTGAACGACTTTTCAACATCCACCTGTTGAGCCGTGTCGAGGAGATGCCTGGCGATGGCACTGTTTAAAGCATTTGTTCCCTTTAGACGTAAGCTTTTTGGTACATGTTCAGAAAATCGTAGATATGCCCTTCTTTCTGTCCTTCCAATGTAACTGCTCCCTGCAGATACATGTAAATTTGTATGCACACAGCTGGAGTTAACATGAGAAGGATAGTTATCGATTTTTGATTGCACCAAAAGAGCAAGTTGTTTGATAGACGGGAACGAGCTTAGTTGCAGGATAGGCTATGGCTAGCGATGTACTCAGCTGATTTATACATCCAGAAAGAAGCGGTTATCAGGCTATCTTTGCCCTGATAACTAGATATTTTTCATCTCTCTTTCATCCGAATGCGAAATGCTGAAAAGTTTCCATTGTGTCTGATTATTATTGTTCGGAATAGTGTTTAATATTATACATGTATATATTACTGTATGCATATATTGGTCGATTGATTTTTGTTAAAAAATGAACTCTGTACGTAATTATGTCAAAATTGTTTTTGTAGATACATTTAATAATGACTTTGCTATGTAAGCAGCTGACGATAAGGCAACGAAATAAAAGATGGTACGACTTTATTCTGCTACAACTGTAGTTCTTGCTTTGTTCAAATTCATTAAGAGGAACACATGTATGAAATCAAGCTTTTGTAAATCTTTTAAAGATACTCTCCATTTTAATGATGATGACGATGATTGACTACTACCTTCTTTTGTAAAAAGCGCTCATAAAACAGCATATCTAGTTTTCTTTCCGTCCATTACACATCAGTATAAATTGGAGGATCTGGACTTCTCCGATGACATATGTCTGATTTCCAACAAAATGGAACATACGCAAGTGAAAAGCAACAAGCTGGCAGAAGAAGCATTCACAGAAAATATGCCTTCAGGTGGACATAGAGAAGGTGGAGACAGAGGTGATGAAGACTCGTGGCCAACACCAACAGCAGCAACAACAACAGACAACAATCAGCATAAATGGGAGGAACCTAAGAGAAACAACCTCCTTCACCTACCTGGGAAGCATCGTATCAACTACAGGCGGAACTGACGAGGATATCAAAGCCAGAATCGGAAAGACAAGACAAGCGTTCATTACTCTCTAGTCTGTGTGGGAGTCAACAGCACTCAGCATCAAAAATAAGATCCGGATTTTCAACTCCAATGTGAAGTCAGTGCTACTCTACGAATCAGACTTGGCGCGTCATTCATTAACAGTTGTCTTCGCTCAATACTCAAGATCAGATGACCGGTCAGAAAAGATCAGCAACAGAGAGGTATCTCTGGAAGCGAACCAACCCGACAGGAACCGATTGTGAAACAAATAGGCAGGAAGAAATGGAGATGGATTGGCCATACTCTGAGGAAACAAACCATCAAGTGACATCACTAGACAAGCCATGGCTCGAGTGGAACGCGAAACGGAAGCGGCGAGATGGTCGTCAGCGTGAGCGTGACCTGGAAGAGGTGATGTCAAGAGGAGACGAAAGCATGTGGGCAGACTTGGAGCCAGGTGAAAACTCTAGCAGAGAACCGAACGCAATGGAGACGCGCGGCTGAAGCCCTATGTTCCTCCGGGAATTAAATGAAATAATAATATAATAATAAATAATTACACATCAATATAAATATTTTTGAAAAAAAAGGAAAAAACAATTAATATTAGAGAGGAGGAGAGACAGGAGGCATTCAAAGCGAGGAACTTACAGTTATAAATAATTTTCGATTGTATATCATTGACAGTACATTTATCAGATAATGGAAGAAAATTATCAATCCACCATTTTGTGTAGGTATCAGAATAACCTGATGTAGATAATAATAATGTACGACCAGTTGCATAAGCCATTTGAAAACAATACATTAAATGATGAGCATTACAACCAAATGCACATGGTCGATCAAGTGTAGCTATAACATATTTAGCTTTTTTACAATCAACAGGATTCTAAAAAAAATAAGCGAAAAAAAGAAAGAAACATTTTTAAAGAGATACGTTGGCGGCGAGGGATGGGCGTAGGGTGGGGGGGGGGTAAAAAAGCTTCTAATCATTATATTATTATCATAATTATTTCCTTGGGTTCTGATTGGAACATAGGGCTTTAACAATACACCTCCGTTTTCTTCGATTTTCTGCAGTCCTCTTCATCTGACTAGCTCCAAGATTGTCGATAATCTCTCGCCTCCTCTATGTCACATTCGCATTGATAACGCACTCATCACATCCCACTCGAATTCCACTTGAGTGATGGCGTGACTAATGCGTGATGTCATTCGACGACCTCCTCATTGGAGTATCCTCATGGCTCAAGGTTGGTTTGTTCCCAGGCAGAGTTTCTTGTTGATAATTCTTCCCAACCGGCTGGCCAGCCTGCCATTTCATCTTCCGTATGGAGACAGCGATGAGGGCAGCTGTAGATAAAAGTCTGCAATGACCTGTTGGGAATCCTTTTCATAAGACGCAGTGCAAGTTTCTGACCCATAAAGATGAACTGACTTAACATCTGCATTGGAAATCCAAATCTCCCTCAGTTTTCTTTTGTGGGTCATCTGACATATGGCATTGTCAGCTAGCCAGTCATTGAATGACGTTGATAAAGATTCAGGTACTACATGCCATAGTGCTAAATGGACAGAGAGAGAAAAATTGGAGATGTATCAGGCACACGCCAATAAGGAAGTTATCGAATGACATCGCGTGTTAGCCAGCCTATTGCTCGAGTGAAATCTAAATGGAAAGTGATCACTGGGTCATCAGTGCGAATTTTACATGGAGGCGATGGGAGATTATGGACAATCGTGGAGCTAGCCAGTTGAAGAGAACAGCAGAAAATCGAAGAAAGTGGAGTTGTATTGTTGAAGCCCTATATTCCACTCGGAACCCAAAAGAATTACAAGTAAAAATATAATTAAATCCAATTAGACTGAAGTAAATAATAATTAAGAAAATATAAAAATAAACAATATATATTAAACGGTTTCATTGATTTCTTGTATGCACTGAATATTGATTATAACCGAATTCAGGGATTAACTGACATCTAGCTACGAATAAGCCGATATGCAACAGTCGGCAAAAACAACTTTTAACAAACAAAAATATTCATGTAAATTATATATTGAAATATGACCAGTGTATTCAACCAGTTAACCTAATTAGGTAACCATAAATTGACTCTTCAAGCTATGCTTAACCCCGTGTACACATCTGATGAGTTCAGTTCCAAACGAGTGGAGTAACGACTATTTGATGTTTAGATTAATGAGATAATAGGTTACCACCAACTACTAATTATATCGATTAGTAGTACCATATAAGAATTCTTTCCACGTACTTATAGGAAAATATGTAAAAGACTATAAATTCCGATTATTTCTTTATACTTGCAATGTTTTCGCGTTTATCTGTTGGTCGACCTGAAGAAGAGTGATTTTTGTTTTCTTCCAGTGTAACATAGAGATTCAAGCTAGAGACTTGAAGTTTCTTTAGCAGTGTTGATTATTTTTACACGATGAGGTTGCTAGCTTCATAGCCAACCTTCCCTCTTTACCGGGCTTGTTAGTGGCTTGGCGAATTGTAGGATTGCGGGGTCAGTCGGAGATCGAACCCTGGACCACCTGAGTGGTCGGCGAGTGTCCTAACCGCTGTGCCGTCGATGCACATAATGACTACGGTGTACGAATGCACCAGTGATCTTGAACGCATACCAGTCATTGTATGGTAGAACCTTCTGTTACGGCATTGTGCATGAATTGATGTGCGAACTTTATCCTAATCTCGTTTGGAAAATTAGTTGATACCGTGTTAGGGTTAGAACTAGTATATTAGGGTCTAGTTTGTGGTTAGAAGACTGGGGTTAGGGTTAAGGTAATATTTTAGGTTTAAGGGGAGAATTAAGGTAGGGGGAGCGGTTTATTATTCTGTGTATTTTTCTTCTAAATAAATAAGTAAGTAAATTGGAGAAAAGTGTTTCCTTGTTCATATTAGATGAGAGACCGCTTTGATTCTATATAGTTCAGAGATTTAAAAGGTCACCTAAAGCATTCCCAACACCAGTCATAGAACAAAGACTTTATCAACAGTTGCTTATTTCGCTTCATACTGAAGATTAGACGGCCAGAAATCACTAACAAAGTGGGACTGTGGTTGACAACAAACCAACCAATGATCTATTGTCAAGTAAATAATCCGAAACAGATGGAAAGGAAACACTGTGGAGACCGTCGAGTAACATTTCACGTCAGCAAGACCGTCGAGTGCAAACGGAATGAGAGAGGCTAGCAGATGGGTATGGACTCGAAAATGACATGCGTGAGATCTTTTCAGCAGATAAGACCATCTTATTTATTTTATTTTATTTTGATTTACAGCTTGGTTCAACACTGTATTTTCGGTACAAAAGTGGAATTTTCAGCATGTGATATCGGCAGCCCAAATGTTGCAGGCCAACAATGGATATCGGGTGTTCGTCGGCAGGGGATCGAACCTCGGACCATGTGCATGGTCGGCGAGAGTCCTAACCACTGTGCCACTGACGCACAATCACTGAGCCAGGTAGAAAGAACTGTACAGAATAGGATGAAGTAGAGATGTGTTACTGAAGTAATACGTTACACACTCGGAATCTAAGGGAATAATATTAATAAAGTATGGATTTATACCAATGAGCTGTAGATGAAACTTAATTTCTTTGTCGATACTTAATCCACAAAACATCTATACCTTTGAAATATATTCAAAGTGAATCGTTTGTTGGTAGTGTGTGCTACTGATAAGGTTTATCAGTAGTATGTGGATAAAGCGAAGTTCATCGGCAAAAAAATATCTGACATCAGGGAGATACATTCGACCTCAGAGAGAACGCCAATGATATAGCTTTGTGGAGATACATGGAAAAAGTAATAAAAACACAAAGAAACACCATATGTAGGTCAGAAATAGCACAACACAGAAGATCTGTGAAAATGGTGCGATGAAGATAAGGTATTTCTTATTTGGCTATATACAGATTTCAGATTCCAAATAGACAATCGTTATCCAAGTCTCTCGTCTTCTACCGTTATAGTAATAGTGCAGGTGGAGTTACCGATGGAATCTATGAGTCGTATTTCCATTCTATCTATGCGGGACTCATCAGGAAGATGTAATTGGCTACCAGTGAGTTATTGCGTTTCCGGTTGAATTTTGTGGATAATGCCTTGAATTCCGAAACAATCGACACTTGTTTGAGATCCCACCGAAAATACTACCACCCCTCGTTCCAGATACAGATACATGCAGTTGACAAGAGCCAAGTAGGCTGAGAATGTGAGTCGAAACAAATAAATAACCGATAGTTATTACTTCTGCTAATAATATTGAGGGATTCGACTAAATAGCCCAAAATACGAATAGCGAATGTGGCTGATGAATAATATTCGGAAAATAACACTAGTGATTTACAATGAGATATTCGGGAATAATCTCCTTTGAAATTTCGTGAAATGACAGAAGTTATAATTCACGAGTCATTAGATCCCAACCTCAGAAAACGTGGAAATCTTATATACGATTCTTTCGTGAGGTTGCTGTTGTTGTTTACTGCTGAACAGTAGCATACTAGGATCAAAATAATTGTTCAGTAAGTACTCTTTGACTTTTAATGGTGGTTCTCAAACTCATACCATTTCGTGACGTAAAATGGAAATTAATCAAATTCCCACAAAAACTAATACTCAGACAGTAATCTACTTTTCACTAATGATTAGATGCAAGATACAGGTGCCTGTAATTCCCGTAAGAATTCGTCACCAAAGGGGGTCCATCAAGTCCATTATTATGACAAACACCTCCAGCTGAGCTATGCATCGCGACTTCGTACAAGTTTTTTTTTATTACAGCTTTATTCCACACTGGATTTTTGGTACAAGTATGGAATTTTCAGCATTGATATCGGTAGCCCAAATTTCGCAGGCCGACCATTGATACCAGCTATGCGTCAGCAAGGGATCGATCCTCAGAGAAGAAGAGAAGAGCTACCGACCTTGCCTTATGGATAAACACATAAAGCTGAAAACTAACAAAGAACAACCCATCTCTGTGTCGAAGAAGATGACGCGCATGAATGTGGAGTTCAAAGGCTACCTTCTAGCCGACATCCTAAAGAGTAGAATATCTACTGCCTTGAAATGAACATTCTCTGCTACTGCATTACGATTGGTATTCTCAAGCCGCCCCTTGTTCTTCAACAGCTCCAAAGATAAACTATCTCATCTGACCACTTCTATGCATATCTGCCATTTTACTTGCTCATGTGGATCAAGATATATGGGTTGTTCGATGAGTGTTTCATCTAAAAGAGTCAAAGAACATTATCTCCCATGGTTACGAAAGGGTGGCAGTGGATCCATGAGGAGTACTATAATTGAGCATATATTGAACAGTGGTCTTTGAACATGCAAGGAGAATCATCTCAAAGTTATCTAAAAAGTGAAAAGGAAGCCTCCTGCGAAACAGTAAGCATCCGTATACTTTGCTTTACTCACACCTTAGTGATCCAAATAGGAAAACCTGATTTATCCACACAGACGAAACTTCTCCACCCCCTCCTTCGACCTTGGGTGTAGTTTCAAATTCTGCTACTTTGTTAATAATGCTTTATTTAAATTTTTGTATGACATTTTAGTAACATCTTTTGCTTAACTAATGCTTTATTTACTGTTTCTACCTGTAACATAACTTATTTTGGACACTTGTCACCACGTTCTTCCATTAACATCATATTTTTCTGTGTGTCTTTCATATTACGCAACCCTTGTCAAAACTAACCAATCTTCACCCTCCCCCCTTTGTGACAACTTGATTATTCATCACATTTCTGAAACATTTTGATGACGAGCGTAAACCTTAACTAATGTTCTTTTAAATTTGTGTTTAACAATCCTACTGTACTGACACACACACACACA